CCATGTCCCCGAGCACTACATCTACACGATACTTAAATACCTCCAGGGATGGGAACTCCACCACTGTCCTGGAACTCTAACACGTTCCAGACCACCTCTTGTAATGGCCAGCCGTCAGGTGGCTGTCTGTGTGTCTGCTGGGGCCTTCCCTGTGGCTGGCAAAGGTGCCTTTGTGTTCACCTGGAGCAGGGATGGGGCCGGCCGAAGAAAAAGCCCGCATGGCAGGGGGGAACTGGGAACCGGGAACCAGCCAACACCCGACGCCACCTGCGGTAAGTGACCCTGCTGCAGTGAAGTGAGGAGGGTGCCATCGCCCCGCGGTCGGGTACCAGCTGTCGGGGAGGCGCAGGTGTAGAGCAGGGTGTCACGGCTGCCCTGGGGATGGAGCCTGGCATGAAGTGAGGCCGATGCACGGGGTCCTGAGTTCGCTGTCCAGGCACGGGCCTGGCTCCTGGTCTGCACTTGGCAAGTGGGCTGTTCTCCTCCCCAGAAAGCGCTCTGCTAGGTTGGCGGTTCAGGGAACTTGGTGATGTGCAGCATATCGTGGGCATCTCGCCAAATAGCAGCGTGACCTGCAGCTGTGGGACCCGTGCCGTGTCAGAAGAGAGACGACTGTACTGGAGATGGGTCAGTGTTGTTCCTGCTGGTCCCAGGGCAAGGTGTCCTGAGGAGCAAAATGCCCTACCTGCTCCTGGGACGTCATCCTGAGATAATGCCTGCCTGCATGTCCTTGAGGTCGTTCCTTGGAGCACTCCTAAGGGATGTCCCCACCACCCAGGAGCCTTCCCAGCCAGCCACCTCAAGGGATGCCCCGAGGAGCACATGCCTTTGCAGTTAAGTAGGTTATGAAAGTCCTTTCTCCAAGGTCTGGATTAGCCACTGCTGCTCCAGGCAGAATGGGCTCAGCGGGGACGCTGCCAGTCAAGTGAGGACTGCACGCAGGGACCTCAGCTGGAAGGGGATCTCTCCCAACACGGTGCCATGAAGCAACCCAATGCCTCCATGCAAGGAAAGCAGATCTTACACCCAGGAGCTTTCTCTGCTCTTCAGAAGGACCGGGCAGGCTGTGCTGAGGAGCAGTAACGCCTGCCCATGGGTGATGGCGCAGGATGTATGGCCAGGGATGAGGCAAGACATATCTTATTAGCAGGAAAGATGGAGGCATCTTCTACATTAATTCACATGCTTTACCATTTCACATACACAGGGGTTCAGGGTCTGCCTGATGCTTTCTTTTCAAGGCCATTGCTCTCACCGCCAGGTCACAGGATCCCCATGATGAGAGACCCCACTCAGACCCATGCACCAGACTGAACCAGGAGGTTTTGGCATGCTGCACTTGCCCGTGGGCACAGACAGGCTCCGAAGATGGACAGACCCCAGCTGAAGCTGCTGTCACAAGACAGGGCCAGGCGCCAGGACCTGCTCTTAGCTGGGAGATGGGACACCTTCAGGCATAGCAATGGGCACAGGGGATCACAAGACAGCACAGCTTTCAGGGTCCCTTTGCTCCGAGCACGTACTGGCTCCCACAGACGCATCCCTCCAGGATGTCCTGCACAATAGCTCTGCTTCAGCAGCAAAGGGTTCGTGTTGATCTTGCTGTCGCTTTGGGTAGCCACCAGCTTCCTGCGGGCACGTACACTGTGAGCAACATCCGACGGGGAAGGGATGTTGCAGGGAGCTTCACGTTTTCCGTGCTGGGGCCCGCAGGATGACTAACAAAGGAAAATGGAAGGAGCGAGTTTGTGCGTGTCGGCATTGCTGCTCAAAGCTCATCAGTGCATCCTGCGTCCCGCCATGTTCCCGACAACCCAGCGGGAACCCCAGCTCTGCTGCCAACGATCTCCCAATGGTGCCTTCTCTGTCCCTTACCCACCGAAGTCATTAGGTCTCATTTGTTCTCCCTGCTGTTCCAAGGGCTAATGCTGGTTGCAGCATGGCTATACTGGGCCAAGGTTTCTGGGCAGAGACAAAAGAAGGTGTTGGCTTTCGTCCGAGCTGCTTTTTAGCTCTCTGAAGATTTAGCAGATACCTGCATATCAAAGCACGGGACGATGGTTCCCTGCTCTCCAGCCTCTTTGGATTTCATACCGCTCTGCTCCTATGCCATAGGAGAGCACTTGCTCCTCCCAGGCCTCTGACAGACCCGGAGTTGGTGCTTCGGTACTTTAAACAAGTTTTTTTTTTAACAAGCATGTCAGACGATACTGCTCTCCTACTAGGCAACTCCTCATTAAAACTTTATACTTAGGAAGCCTTTCACAGAAAACACACTCCAAGCATCCCACCCGTTGGACGGCAGCAGGCAAGAGCAATTTAGTAACTCAAAAGGATTTCCAGAGGGAGAAGAGCACCGAGTCCTGAACAAGCTCCTGATCGAAGGACGTGGAGTGTGACCAGACACGACTGCAGCACCGGGATGTTTGGAGCTGAGCCGGGCCAGGCTGCAGGGGAGGTGTGGGCTCGCTGCAGCACTGGCTGCATCTCCCACAGCCGGTGGAAAAAAGGTAGATAGAGCTCTGCAGGGCTGCTGCGGGGCACGGTGGACAGCTGAGCGCAGGAGACGTGGATAAACATCCAGGTTTGGCACAGAGTACTTTGACCCAGAGCCCTTGGGCTGCCCCGGCGCGGGGGCTCTGCACAGGGCATCCTGGCCAGCTGGGCTCCGAGGAGCACGCAGTTCACACGGGCTGGTTACTCACATATAGATGATTTCCTTGGGAAAGTTTTGTATGTGCACAGCCTTAGCAAGCCAGCGTGAACCAGGTAAAACACATTTGGTTCCAAAAAAAAGAGCTTCCATGGGTCAAGAGAAGAGGAAATTGAAGAGTGCTCAATGCTTCGATGCGTGCACATTCCCTTCCCTGTGCCAGTAATTTGCCTTTCCTCTCGTGATGTGGTCCTTCTCTGCTCCATGCTCCTCTGTTCTAATCACCCGCTGCCCTCCTGGGTCATCCGGGCTGCTCCATCATCCTTCTTCCCTTCTCAGCCTTGGGCGTGCTTCAGTCCTGGGTGGGAGCGATGGTTTTGCAGAGGGACTGACATGAGCGCTTTCACCCCAGCAGCATTAGTCTCTATTTTAGAGCTCCAATACAGGACAGGGACATTCACCACAGTGACAAAACCTGATTTCAGTCTCATAAAATACCCCCTGAAGTACAACAGCCTGATAGAAATCCCAACACCTGGCTTCTACTTGAAGGGTCTTGTTAGTAACCCTAGGCTTGTCTTGCTGACTCTTTGACTCCATCACTCCTGATTTGCCAAAGTCTACCTGGTTTAGCCTTCTGCCGATCCCGGGGACAGCCTGGAACACTTGCGTCCCTCACAAAAAGGAAGGGACTATTTGTGCTTTATAGCTCACCACTGAACCTTACAAAAGAAATTAAAGGAGCCAAGAAGGGCCCCCAAAGAGGACACCTGCTTCTGAAGAAAAACCACAGGGCATGAAAAATTGGAAGCATTTCCTAAGAGGGCAGAGAGAGAGAGAGAGAGAGGATTTAGCTTTAGTGAGAACATCTTGATTTGCCTAAATACGTGAGTCCCTTATTAAATTACTGCCCTGTTGAATAATGGTGTTCAGCAAAGGGATCAAAACCATGTCATTCTAGATTGTAAATGAGACTTGGGAATTCAGTGGTGAGGGATAAGACGCAAGCCTAAAATGTCCCAATGGGAGAATGGCAAATTTCAGAGGGTACGGAAAGATCCGGCCAGGCCACATGTATAAGAGGCAGCGCCTGCTGTGGGCAGAGGTTACAGCCTGGATCCGAAGAGCCAAACCCTTCTGATGTGAGCAGCTGTGTTGCCACTGAAATATCCTCCTGCCACGGGCACGGCCCTGCTGCCAGGCCCTGTACAAGCAGAAGTGTCACTGCCCATCCTGCCGGACAGGGACGTGGGTGCAGCGCAGGCAGGTTTCACATCCTCACCAAGGCTGCCTGACTCCACGGCTGGTGACGGTTAGTTAAAACCAGCAGTTTCTCAAAACTGCGGAGTTGGAATAGAAACTGAAGTGCCACAATGCACTGGACTGAAGAGAGCAGCGTCCCCGCCGTCCCTGCTGTCCCTGCTGCTGGCCACACAAGTAGCTAAAAGCCACCCCAGGGAGACCTGCCAGCACAAAAGCCCTTTCTTTCCCCCGGGGTGATTTTCCAGTCCCCTTTCTTAAAGCAGCACCGACCCAGCCTGGGTTGTCCCTCGACTCCTCCACTCCCTTCCCGCTCTCCCAGCAGTGGCCGGACTGGGGACAATAAGAGATTCAACCTCTTGAGCAAAAGCCGGTAACAGTCCAACCACCGAATCCTTCCAAGCATCACGGAGATGAACTCTGACCTGAACTTGTACTTCTACCATTTATTTACTTGCTCTTTTATTTTAAACTAGCATGTTTCACAAAAGTAACACACCACCTCTCCTCACCAAACACTTCCTCCCACCCAGCCCACGTGTCGCCTTCAGCCCCTTCCAACCGCCTGCCCTGAGTGAGGAGACACCCACGTCCGCCCTGCGCTCTCACCGCTTTCGGCTATTGCAGACTACACATTTCTTGCCTGGGAGATCCCAGACACTGTCTAAGGTGCAGCTTTCCAAGCGTGGGAAGCTGTGACCTGTATTGCGAAGCCTTGGCATCCTTTTTGCAGCAGGGCAGCGCGCAGCCCATGGTTCGGCACTAATGGGGCTCTCGTCATCACACCCGGGGAACTACAACCTGACGCCTTAGGAGAGGATTTGGTGACCTCTTTCTGGAGGAGCTGGGAGCCAGGTCCCCCTCACAAGGGCCATCAGCTTCAAGCTGGAGAGGGCCCGGGCTGAGCAGGAACCCAGAGGCTAAATGGGAAGGAGTGGGAGTCGGCGCTGCTTCGAAGCCTGTGCTGATATGAAATCCATCCTACAGGTGGGACACCTGATCAGAAAGGACTGGTTAATGTTTAATAAGTCACAAAAACATCCTGTGGCAGAGGCGCAGAGCACTTCCCTCCCATTGGGGCACTCACCATCCTCCTGGCCATGCAGGTTCTGCGGGCTGCGCATGCTCTCGTCCTGGCTGGGGCTCAGGCTGGAGTTCAGGTGCTGGTCAGCTGAGATCCATGTGGAGTCGTTCATATCAAAGTCCTCACTGCTCACCGATGTCTCATCCTGGAGGCAAGCAGGAAAGGGTTAACTTGCTGAGCTATTTTCTTTCCTCCTTTCTCTGGCTCTAACATCTCCTCACTGCACTCCTTCCTAAAAACAATTCGGTCTGCGGCTCCTGCCCCCCAAGAACGCTCGCTGGCCCCTCGGCACTCCCCAAGGCCACAAGGAGCAGCCCTTCCCTCCGACAGGCAGGCGAGGGACAGCCGAGCTCTGCTTCCTGCCTGAAGACGTGCCTGAGCAATGGCACTGTCTCTAATTGAGGACAATTAGAAAGAGCTCGCATCCTGTAGGAGCGGATGGCTGAGCCCTGGAGTTTACCCTTTAATCTCCATCCACCACAGCATGTTTCTGGTGAGGCAGCGGCATGTGGGAGCTGAGGATGGAGTGCAACTCCATCGAAACGGCTCCGTAAAACATCTCGGACTTTTTTGAAATCAAATCATCTGCTGCAAGAGGAATCACCAGAGGACTGGCACCAGCAGGGAGTGGCCAGTGGGGCAGATGTGGATAACGGCGCTGATCCCCATAGACCTGCACTGCTTGATGCTGCAGAGGAGGCTCCTGGAGCACAGCCCCGAGGGACTGCTCCTCCAGTCCTCTCCGAAGGGATTATTGCCTCTGTACCCGGATCAAAAACGACAACACACACCTTGGGAAAGGACTGGGGGAGTGAGGTCCCCGGCAAGGCAAGGACATCCCAGCTCGGGCCGAGGAGACCAGCCAGCCTCCTGCTCCCCGACGGCATAGATGACATTCCTCTCTCCCACTCCTGCAGCTGAAAGGACATTTTCTCTCTCCCTCTCGCTCCCTTCTTGCTAACCTTTACAGTACTTCGAGACACAGCCCTTGGATCACTTCCAGCGCCGGAAAGGTCAGCCACAGGATTTCAAAACCATCATCATAAAGGCAGCACTGAGATCCTGAATGAGAGGAGGGGCTGCGGGACCTCCCCAGGCTGAACTCTCCAAACATGCAGCTTGGGAGGAAGCAGATACGTGTCCCCGTATTAACACGGTCCTGCTGGCAATCCCTTTATCTGCCTTCCTTTCTCCGCTCCCCTCCCAAAGCAACGGGCAGAGAGAGCCCTGGGGTGCAGGGGAACACCAAAAATGTTTCCAGAACCACTTTCAACAGTGCTTTCCTTTGATTGAAACATTTCAAAGGCTTGTAAACTCTCTGCTCTTATATTATTTTTTTTCTCCCCCTGGTCCTAAGATAAAATACAATCCCCGCTCCCTTTCCGAGTGAGAAGCAATTGGCAAGCACCCCTCAAACCTACGCCTGCGCCTCATAAAAACTGCCCTGTCTGGCCGCCGCTGGCTGACAGTTTTTATTGTGAACAAACAAATGTCTTTAAAGACAGGTTTGTGCTTTTCCTCCCTGTTCCTCATCCCTGCAGACACATCTGCTGGCTCGGGGCTCGTGCCCGCCCCCAGCCCGCTCCCTCGATGTGCCTCCCGGGGAGTTTCCTGGAATTTACGGCTTGTGAAACCCCGCACGCACCAACGGCCGGACAGGGCTCAGCAGCCCCATGCATGCCCGCCAACGGAACGAGGAACACCCCGGCCCCCGGACCCACCTGCGCTGCCAGCCAGGTGCCCCCCTGCAGCCCCCCCAGTGCCCACGTCGAGCAGAGCAGCAGAGGCGGGAGGCAGGGGGG